TGCGCAACCAGGGCGCATGAATTATCCAAAGAATACTTCCTGATAGTTTTAAAAGATTTATAGTACTTTTGAAATAATAAAAGTTGCATTATATTGTCAATAAACAAAGTGAAAGTCCACATGAAATGCCACGAATCGAACATAGCCGCCATCTTGTATTTCACTYGCCAAGAGGTTTGGGATTAGTCTGTGTTAACTGACCTTGTATATTGAAGGCTCAAGTATGGCTGCCCAGCAAAATTTTATTRTGTTGTCATTACTATTAAAACTGTCTTACATTAGTGTAGATTTGCAACAGAGTTACTGGCTAAAAACATTATTAWTCTTTGTTTTAAGATTTTGGAAATGGCCCATCCAGTTTTCTAAATGGCCCCTAAATTTTGGATTGATGGGCCCTTTGACCCCCTGAAAGAAATTCCTGGTCAGAACACTTTCATTCCCTAGAGTATCATTTCTCTATTTAACGGTTGTGCATGAGAAGACACATGAATATGGTTACAAACAAATGTTATTCTCAAAAGAATGACATGGTCTGAAATGGGAAAACATTAGGCCCAAGCTAAGAATATCTATTGCTTACAGCTAATATGATTGTCTTGACATTATTTTCAGAATTCYCCTGCAACAATTCTCACTCCAGCAAAAAAGAAAATCAACAATATTGGTATTTTTCTGAAGGCAAGTAGTTTTTGCRTTAAATACCTAAATGCCCACCTCACCAAAACACTACCCACTTTCATTACCTCTACACTATTTACACTTACATGGGATTTAAACATATTTCCTTGTCCTGATCACCGGAATTTACTGCCACCCAGTTGGCTCAAATGGTAAGAGCGTTGGTCTGTCTGGCCRGACCAACACTCAGGGTCTTAAAATAACTGAGGAGAAGGTGCTGAGTTTGTAATTACATCTACCAATGGTTAGACCTTTTCATCTTCTTGAATAATGCTACGCACAATAAAAAAATTGCAAGACAACCCCTGTTATGCTGTGCAATTCTCCAGCAACTTGTATYACAATGGCRTTGCAAGAAAAGTTGCTGAGAAAATTACACAGCATAACAGGGCATTAAGAGACATGATTGTAAACTGTGTAACAGCAATATTACCCCCCMTTATTAACAGAAGCTGCCTGGGATATGCAATTTTATAATTGTTACAATGAATTTTATATAAATTTTGTTTTTCTAGGATGAAGATGACGAAGATGATGATAAGCAAGAGAATGGAGAGGTATGATGTTTATTGCGCACACATGTACTTTCTTTTCCCCCGGTTGATTTGCACCAATTGATTCAATACTCATGAGGTGTACTGACTAGAAATTATGTTAATACCTTCAACTATCTCTTTTAGGGTGAGGAAGATCTGTTAATTGCCGGCGAGGGGAAAGGAACAGTTCTTGAGAGCAGAACAAGGGTAAGAGACTTGATAAAGACAATTAACACCCTACTGACAATCCACCAACACTCTACTGACAATCCACCAACACCCTACTGACAACCTACCAACACTCTACTGACCCCTACCAACACCCTACTGACAACCTACCAACACCCTACTGACCACCTACCAACACCCTACTGACAATCCACCAACACCCTACTGACAACCTACCAACACTCTACTGACCCCTACCAACACCCTACTGACAACCTACCAACACCCTACTGACAATCCACCAACACCCTACTGACAACCTACCAACACTCTACTGACCCCTACCAACACCCCTACTGATACACTACCMACACCTTACTGACAACCTACCAACACCCTACTGACAACCTACCAACACCCTACTGATAACCTGATATATACTTATATTTAACAGACTGAGCTTACGGCAGAAGACAAGAGAAGAGCCCATCAACAGAAGCTCAAGGAGCAGTTGCATGAAGAAGCAACGGTGAGTACTATGTTTTGCATTGCAGAATATTGGTCAACTTCTAGTTTATGTATCAGCCTTGTATTTCTTTACTATCTGAAGTTATTCTTTACTGATTGACTCTTTGTCAATCATATCCATGCACCCAACTATCTCTGTCATTCATCCATCTAACCATCCTTCATTCCCATATATCCATCCCATCTGTCTATCTCATCCATCCCATTCAACCATCTTTCTTTCCAAAAAATACATCCCATACACCTATGTCGTCCATCTATACCATCCATCCATCCATCCATCCTCCTTCACTCCTTATCAGCCTTGTATTCCTTTGTTAAGTGAAGTTATTCTTTACTTGTTGGCTTTTTGTTACTCACATTCATCCAGCAGACCCTCCTTCATTCCCATTTATCCATCCATCCATCTTTCAATCCCATCCATCCATCCATCCCATCTGTCTATCTCATCCRTCCCATTCAACCATCTTTCTATCATGCATCCTTCCAAATGTGTATCTCATCCATCTATCTATCCCATGCATTCATGCATCCGTCCTTTGATCCCATCCATCCATCCATCCATCTTTCAATCCCATACATCCATCCATCCTCCTTCACCCATCTGTCCCTTTTCTTCCCTCTGTCCAAACCCTTACCCACTTGCTGTTTATTCATTCATTTGTTTATTTTTTTGCTTTCTTTTTAGCGGCGTCTTCTTGAGGCTAAAGGAGAAACAGAAAAACCAACAAAGTAAGGACACCATGTCTAATTTAATTTAATTTGTTTGCYACAAATATACAATGATTACAAGGTTAAAGAGTACAAACGAATAAAACACAGAGATGGAAAGAGACTAAAATGCGAAATTCAGCAACTTTTGTTGAAGAGAACCTTCATAAAATGAACTTCTTACTTGTACCTTGTTTGGGTTCAATACAACAATAGCATCTCAATCAGAATTRTCCCAAGGTTGTCCCCTTAAAAAATGTGCCGACACGAATGAAAATCGTCTGCGCATGCTCTGTATCCGTATGCAATTTAGTCAAAACATGTGAATTTGACTTTCAAACATGCCTAGTAAATTGGACTTCACAAAATGCCAAAACTTAGTGTCCATGCTTGAAACGTAAGGCAAATTCTTTTATATTGTGTTTTTTAATACAGTATCTTGGTCTGACAAAAGTATGCTCTCAAACTTTTTTGTATACATGGAGAAAACWAACATTTATTTTCTCACTCAAACTCTTCAAAATTCTAAGAAAATGTGCTGAAGTGCATGCAATCGTGTTTCTCCAGTGTCAAAGGTACTGCTGTGTTACTGCGTCTTACTTGATGTCATTTCCTGTCTCATGCGKAATGCTCAGCTGAATCGCCAGTTTTCAATAGAATTCTTTCTGGTTGACAGCACAAGGTGGTTACAATTCGACCATYGTACACCTGCACCATGGTTAGACCTTCAAGTCTTCTCGGACAAGGAATTAAAACCATAGACCTGTATATCTTCACTATATAACCCTGTACTGTATAAGGCAGACGTAAAAGACCCACTGAAGATGCTGGGGACGAACATCTTCGGTGCCTGTGCTAAACTCTACAGGGCCCACTGTAATTGGCAAGCTGTTGTGGTGCCCCTGCCCTCATGGGGAAAGAGCTAATAAAAAAAATTAATTTATTAATCATCTAGAGCAGATAATGAGATTCAAAGACTTTTATCAGCTGATTAAAAACCCAGTAATTCAGAACAAACATCTTGATTTATCATTATTTTTTCTAGAATAAAACCATCAAATGTTGCTTACAAAAACCCCAACTTGTTGCCAAAAGAGAACAATATCAGAGACCTGCACTTGTATGTAGGTAAGTAAACACTCCAGTTTTGAGTTCTCTGTTGCTCAGGGTTAGCCTTGGTTTTGTAAAGGCCGGTTTAGASGGTACGATTTTCACCTACRACTATTGYGTACAACATGCTCGCGCCATCCTACAACTCGAGTGGTAGCATGTAAATCAAGCCTACAACTCGCCTACGACAGACGCGAGCATGTTGTATAYGATAGTAACTGTTGTAGGTGAAAAATCGTACCGTYTAAACTGGTCTTAAAGAATATTCATGTGTTCCAGTGAAGGTCCGTGGAATYTTAAAGTTTGTATTGTTGAAGTTGAGCAATCTTTACAATACCGTTGGTATCTTAAGACACTGATTCAAGGCTTACYCTGAGTAAATGAGTCTGCAATCAAGCAACATARTTGTAATTTGGAAATGGTCTATCTGGTTTCTCCAACCAGGGCTGGTGTGTTAGCTTTCCATGACTGTCATGGCTGACATCACTTGATGGTGCAAAGCCTCCATTTGATATTTTTGGTTGTTGGTTCTCTCATACATTAATGTTGTTGTTATCATTATTGTTATTATTATTATCATTATGACTATTATTTATTTTACCACTTTTTTCTCCCTGCATTTTCTCTGAAATCCAACGAACAGCACATCAAGGGAGATTACACTATTGTCATTATTTATTTATTTCATCACTAACATTATTGTTATCATTATTTCCATCATAGATAAGAAACATGAAGCTGTAATACTGCCATTGTTTGGTATCGCAACACCCTTCCACATTTCAACTATTAAGGTACATAAACACTTGCGTTGTTTAAAAATATAAAGAAATAAGCACCTCTAAAGATTTACAGAATAATACAARGSCAYGCAGAGATGYTGGATTTATCTTTGAGTGTTCWATCAWTTAACTTTATTTRTCCACRGTAAAKGGCTSARTAAACTGATTTTCAGATATGCCATGCTAAATCGATATCTCCTGGGTGAGCCCAGCGAATGAGTGAGATATTGAATTTGAACTTGAGAAGATAAAATTTCATGTCTGCAAGCATCCATGCATCGTTCTCTTTATGTCATAAATAACCGGAAGTGCGTTTCACTTTGGGGTTTCGCACCTTCAATTCCCTGTGGATGATTAAACTTTACTGACAATATTTTGAATGAAATCTCCCACAAACAGAACACTGAAGAGAATTATTTACAGTTGCTTTTGCCATCATTAATTTTGCAAATCTTAAACAAATCTTTTTGAATATTTATTTCAGAACATCAGCTCAAGTGACGAGGGAGGCTACACTTATCTACGTATCAATTTGTACTGCCCTGGAAGGTATTGTTTAGCTCTTTGCTCCTTGATCTTATTAGTGCATAAGCACAATTCCAAATGGGCGTGAATACTGTCATGATCTTTCTAGTATGTGATAGAAAGTTGGAACATATGTTCTAGCATCATACAAAGTCTTATTTTAGCTGACGGTCCATCTCTAAAGTCATGTTTGTTTTAACTTTTTTTGCAGTTCTGTTGGGCGTCTGGAAGGGAATCTTTTCTCTCAACCTGAAGCAACGTTCTTAAAAGAAATGTAAGTCAAGGACTATTATTTGTTTCTGTTGCTGTTTCTGTTAAATAATTGTTATTGCTCCTGTTGTAACTGCTGCTGTTGCTGCTGCTGTTGCTTATGCTGCTGTTGCTTATGCTGCTGTTGTTGATGTTGTTGCTGTTATTATTGCTGTTGCTGCTCCTGTTGTTGCTGTTGTCATTGTTGCTGTTGTCATTGTTGCTGTTGCTGCTGTAGTTGTTGATGTCACTGTTGCTGCTGCTTTCTTTTGTTTATACTGTTGTTGCTGTTTTTGTTGCTGTTGGTGTTGTTACTGGTGCTTTTAATGTTCAAAACCTCAAGGATCTCCAGTTAATAGGTTTGGTTCTTGTCTTCTCTCTTCTTCACATCCTGTAAGCTGCCAAAATCCAGAACCTTTTTCATAACCAGCACTGTCTGTCACTGTGGGGTCTGTAGAAATGTGTTTCTTTGCTCATAAACATTTCAAAAAGCCTTTGCACAACTATTACTTTCCATTATTGTTTATAATATGTATATGTTGAGACAGACCATCCAGTTATTTAATTTAATTAGGGTACCAGGAACATCCACCCTGGAGTCCTTAATAAAAATACCCCTCACCCATAACTCAATATGCACCACTCTCCAAGATACATCACTCGAATCATCTAAAAATATCTTACCATTCAACTATGAAAGGGGCACTTGGATGAAAATGCCCCGATTTTTGAAAGTCCAAATAATTGAAGTATTTGAGGATAATATGACCCAATTATAATTATGGAAAACTGATTAGCGAAAATTTTAGCCTGGGAGCCACTTGCTTTTGAGATATCTTAGGTTAAGAGAGAAAAGAACAATAGGGTTGAGTAAATGACTTCATTTACTCACAATTTAGATGCTGAATAAAATCAATAATTTTTTTCCCGCCACTTTTGACTGTGAAGGAAACATGTTGCTTGGCTACTATCTGGGCCATATAGATAAGTTTAAACAAGTTTCAAATCATTTCCAATTTTTATTGATTTTCATCCAAGTGCCCCTTTAACTTCATGTAGAATCAGTACTAAAAATATTGAGTTAGAGGTAAGGGACACTTTAATGGTACCACAAACCCTTGATTCCATATTAATGTCATGGATCTTTCTTTCCCTCGATAGGACATTTCGCAGCTCAAATACCAAAGCTCCTGGTTCAGCCCACCCCCCAGCGCAGAATCTAAACATGGCTTTTAGGCATATCAAAGAAGTACAGAAAAAGTTCAAGACCAGAGARGCTGAAGAGAGAGAAAAACAGGTATGGAATCAATCATTATTCTTATCTAAGAATCAAGGGTGGTGTTGCAGTAMAGSCCTCRCCTYTCMSCTCTGGGGTCTTGGGTTAGATTSCTGGACTCAGCATCACATGWGAGTAGAGTTTAWAAGGTCTGTMCCTTAATTTGAGGGGTTTCTCTGGGTTCTCTTGCAATCAAGGTTAGGGTAGTGGTAGTGCACTCGCYTCTYACCTCTGGGGTTAAGAGAGCAATCCCTTTTTATTTCAAAATATGAGTGATTTCCTGTGGTCACAGGTTTCAAGTTTGAATATTTTTCTGCTGTTTGTGTTTTACAGGGTGTAATACAGCAAGGTACTTTGATTCTCAACAATACCAAAGGCAACCCAAAACTCAAGGATTTGTACATACGACCCAGCCTAACACAGAGAAGAACACCTGTGAGTATTACTCTATCGTTCTTAGTCTTATTCCATCCTCATTTTAAAGTGCCTATGACACCTAACTCTAAATTTCCAGCATTGATTCTAAATGAAGCGGAAAGTTGAATAGGTGGAGCTGAGATTCAAGGGAAACAAAACTTAAGTGGTTTCAAGAGGGATCAGTCATTAAGTGATTTGTCATATAGCACAACAAAGACATAGTTTTRCTTGTTAAGGCTRACTTCTTGTACAGACCACYRGCTTTTTATTCTTGCAAAAATATCCTRATATAAGATACACTCAAGCAGTTYSTTTCAGTTTTTTTTTCGAAATTTCAACAAACTCTTGTTTATTTATCAGAATATTTTTCTTTGCAGAAGGCTTTGAATGTGGAGATTGRAATTTTTGTTTCCAATKTCATGTCTTTTGAATMTTTTCTTCCARTATGCCAGCAATTTCTTTTAGGGACAAATCAGCAAAGCCAGACACTGCATTACAGCAAACATTACAGCTATATATCAATGCCTACTATGAGATCACTGACAGCACAGTAACTTACTGTGCAGTCTGTCAGTTTCCATTAGACCCACAGCCCGAATGGTCCACAAGTCAATATCTTATGAGGCTGAAGGCTGAATGTGCTATTCACATGTAGACCATGAGTTCTATTGGTTGTTAACCATTTAATGACCATTGAAATTATTGACTGAGCAAATGTTTCGTTTTTTTAGGGAATCCTTGAAGCACACAACAATGGTAAGATATTTAAAAGAACTGCACACAATTTTGTAGATAGTAATTTTGCTTCATAGAAAATATTGGAAATAAGATTTTCTCTCAGCTGGAGTATACAGCCATTTCAAAAAAGGTTAAAGGAACAAACAGTAATAAACAATAGGAGAAGAAAGGTCATTTCAAGGTTTAAAATAATGGCCAATCAATCAGTCAGAGGTCATGATAAAAGGCCAAATTAACTTGAGCTCAGTCATGCCTCATTTCTGGCTAAACAATACTGGTCAAAATTACTGGCAAGACAAAGATTTGACCGGTAATGATAAAAGGGTAAATTTTACACKGTGAAAAGATGAAAAAACTGACGTTTCAGATGSTAGTCCCAGTTCTTGCCRAACATTGTCCCATGTCCCACTGTTATTTTAACCCTGCATTCCAAGATCCACCTTGATTATTTGCGTTTCGATGCATGACAACTATTGCTTTTTGTCATGAAATGACCGTTTCACCTTTCTTAAATAGCTGTATAGGGGAATAGTAATAATGTTTTACCAAACAACATTTTTTTAAGAAAGGTAAACTATTAAAAATGCAGGGGCAGATCTAGGGAAGAGCTATGCACTCGTGGTATTGAGCCACTTTCATCCAATGCRTGTGGTATTTTTCATTAATTCTTCTTGAACGGTGGCATTTCCTATACATATCGCACCTCAAAACCCAATTTGAAAATTAATGTGTTCCTAATCTTAATCACTAATCATGATATTTRTGTAACAGGTTTCAGGTTTTCAACATTTCATGGTGATAATGTGGACATACTTTATGGCAATGTTAAGCATTCTTACTTCCAGGTAAACAAAGAAAGAAATTATTTTCAAAAGACAAGACCATGAGATTTGGGTCACAGATTTGTTACCTACTAACCTGGGGGGGAGGGATACTCCCCTATATTTGCTATACRGGTAYGTGCTGCCAAACAGGGTATGGTTTTCAACGATTCTACTCTGGAACAGGGTATATAAAATTGTGCTCGCTCTGGGACAGGGTATATGAAATCACGCTCTCTCCTCTCTGGAAGAGGGTATTTATTTTTGCAATACCGGAACGGGATATGATTTTCAGTGATCTTGCTCTGGAACAGGGTCAGGGTTCAGTGGGCTCAGGGGCACATGCCTACCCTAAAC